CATAACAGAAATATAACCCAGGGATAAAGCACGTGGTCACAACTAAACTCAGCTCAGTCCACAGCCAGCCAGGTGGTTTCCCTTCTCACTCACCACTGGGACAGAGCCAAGGCAGGTATCCTGTGCTTTCTTATTCAGAGGTGCCCTTGAACGCCTCCACAATCATAGAGAGAGGTTTGGAAATTTTAAATTTTGAAGTTTGAATGTATGCATCTATGTTCCTTTGGATCTAGAACAAAACAAAATGACAGTGAATGAAATAAATAAGAGTGAAATACAATTAAGCTGTATTATTTGCACAAACAGTCTGTGACAAAGACATCTATTGATACCTGAAACAGCATCACTTGTGCTTTATATTAAAATAACATCAGTAACACAAAAGGATTACACAGCCTGATTGAGCCCTACTGACTGACAGCCTAAGCCTACAAATTCTTGCTTATATGAAGATTTCCACTAAAGTCATTGATGCCTCCTACAGCAAGGATCCAAAGGATTAAGACAACACATAAGATACAATCCCTACCTCGAAGAATATGAAATCTAAATAAGACAAGACATACTCAAAGGGATAGAAATGTTTTATTATAAGATATAATTTTTTTAGTACATAATAAAATAAATTCCATTACATGGTAAATGCTTTTGCAGAACTGGATTGTGTTCCCAAAGCTGCAAGATAAAATTGTCTGTATTTTTGCTATGTTTCAGTTACCGGTCCATGAAAACTTAATAGGAAATTTGTTTTCTCCTGGAGGTTGCAAATTCAGACCTCTGATTTCCCCAAACAGCTGGTCTGTAAAAGGCAATAAAATAAAGTGTTAAGTCACTGAAATGCTTTATAGGAAACACAAATCCCTTGAAAATCAGCAACTGTCACAATAAAGAGAAAATGGGATTTAGTCTTTGCACTTGGTTTTAACAAGCCAGTCATTAAAGGTTGCTAATGAACCATTTCATGAAGATTAAGACATATCAGTGCTATAGCTTGCTGGCTTACAATGCCACAGGGCTTGTGGTCCTCACATGTCACAGCCTGTGCAGAAAGTCTGCTGGGGACAAGGTTCCTGGTATTCTTCAGCAGTTCTGGAACAGGTTACAAAGGCACCACTCTCCCTACCCCTCCTCTGCCCCCTGCACATAGAGTTACAAATTTTGGTGCTGCTCCTGGCCTGGAGCTGATCCCATCCCTGCCAGTGTAAGGAGCTAAAAATGAGTGCTGGATGATGCAGAGCCAGCCTGCTCTCCTCCAGAGATGTGAGTGCTGAGCCTGGCAGAACAGGGAGGACATTCATCCCACCAGGGCTGGGGTCATCTCTAGGGGAAGGACAGGGGAAGGACATTTGTGGGAAGGGTATCTGTGAAGAAGGACATCCATTGGGAAGGACATCTGTGGGGAAAGAACTGTCCCTGAATCGATGAGCTTCCTCAGGCAGCCTAAAAAGCCATGGCAGTGCTGACATCCTCCCAGTCCCAGCCACATGAAGAACACCCACCCTCTGCCTCCAGCAGCTCTCAGGGCCAGTGGGAACCAGGGTAATAAGCCTCTGCCTTCCTCTCCTTGCACCAATATCCATGTTAATTCATTTCTATGTCTCTGTGCTCAATATTCCTGCAAGCATAGGGTGTTTTGGGCCTGGAGCTGGAGAGACCCAGCAAGGGACTTCAGTGCTTCAGCAAGACCTGCCTGGTGATGCTGAGTACACACAACATGGTTATGTTCTCATCCTCCTACATGGAGTGTGGGGAACAAGCTGTGCCAGGCATCCCTTCCCATCACATACCTGGGAAAGACCCTCACAGTCACCTTTGAAATGGATCTCTCAGCTTATGCCTAAACATTTTATGTAAGGGCTTTTGTCTGATTTGTTCCAATGGGAGAAGAGTTTGGCGGAAATAACTTTAGGGACCTAATTAAAAGTTTCTGTTTCTGGTGGTCCAAACTTGGGGCAAACAGGAGAAGGTAATTACTATGGCTTTGCATGACCCATTCTCCCTGTGCCAGAGGGTGTATGATCTCCATGCTGTGACCCTCCTCAGGGGTCACTTTACCTCACAGCTTTACTTGCTGTCATTGCAGTACAAGCCAACTTTCTATTCCTCTGTTAACAGATGAGCTCAAGCTTCTATTACTACTATTTTCTTCTTGTTTTTGTAGGTGGAGCTGGTCCAGATTGTCATCGACGGGGTAAATTACCTTGTTGACTGTGAGAAGAAACTGGAAAGAGGTCAAGACATCAGGGTGCCACCTCCGCTGCCTCAGTTTGTCAGGAAATGATGTTGCTGCTGATGGTGGCAACTGATGGTAGACTGGTGGCTGCCACTCTGATAGGAAGGCACCTCTGTATATGTCTGTATAAATATGTTGTGTAATAAAAACACTGCCTGATACCTGAGGTCTTCTCAATTTCTGGCTGTACTGGCAGAAACCGGTCTTTGTGCAGCTTTCCTGGGCTGCACCCATACAACCTTCTCCCTACACTCTCTTTGGGGCACCGCTTCCCTTTCTTTCTTGGTTGGTGATAAGAAAAGTACTACTCCAGTAGTACTAGTCTAGTTCTATGCTGCACTTGCACTTCTGGCCATATTTACAACAGCTCCTGTAAGCACCCTATTCATTACCGCCCCATGACCTTGGGCTGCAGCCCAAAAACCAGCAGGCAAATCAGATTGTTGATATCCTGCAACCCCCATAACCCTGCCCAGCATGGCCTGTTCCAGGTAACGGAGACCTAGCTCAGCTGTCACTCCTCAAAATGCCTGGGGATTTGCTAACACATCTCCATGCTCACCACAATTTCATGTGTGAAGCAGCTCTGTGGAAAGGGAAAACCAGCAGATGCTGACAGTCCCTTTGATTGCTTCTTTTTGCGTATTGAAACACACTCAGCATTTCACAGCCATTCAGAACAGCAGTTCACAGAAAGGTCTCTCAGTGAGTCATATCTGCAGAGTGGCTGGATAGCTGGGCCATGACTGGTTACAAACTTTGAAAATCACAATTGGGAGCTAATTGAGAGCTGGATGGTGAATCATGAGCTCTTGATAATCAGGAGCCTGGTGAGAGCTGTTGAGGGTAAAGCATACTGGAGCTTCCATGTGAGTGCTGATTCTTCCTCATCTATGCTGGGAACATTCTCTTACATTTTGCTACTGGCTTTCCAAGTGCTGATTAATAATTGTAATTCTGGGAGAAGCAAAGAGACTTCTGCTGATTTTACATAGAACATAAACAAGAAAACCTGGAAAGATTTCAGTGTTAGCTCTCCAAAACCCTAAGCTCAACGCAAAATCTGCCTGTGAGCCAAATGTGCTCAGTTTTCATCCTCTATTTGGTTTTCCCCTGCTGGCTTGCAAACTGCTGATGGGCAGCAGCAGGACATCCATTGGCAGCCACTTGCTACCAGAATTCCTGAGGAGTTGGTACTGGAGCTGATGATTCTGTTGTAATGTCTTTACTAACAACCTGGATGATGAGGTGCATCTCACAGTCAGTCAGTTCACTGCCGGGGCTCAACAAAAGGGAGCAGCTGTACAGCTGGAGAGCAGGGCTGCTCTTCAGAGGGCACTTCACTGCAGAAATGGGCTGGTGGAAATTCCAGGGAGTTTGACAGAAGGAAAGAAGGAATAGGGAAGAAATTCTTCCCGTGAGGGCAGTCAGGCCCCAGCACAGATTGCCCAGAGAAGCTGTGGCTGCCCCATCCCTGGTAGTGTCCAAGGCCAGGTTGGACGGGGCTTGGAGCAACCTGGAATAGTGGAAGATGTCCCTGCCCAGTGCTCGTTTTCAGCGGCAGCGATGCAGTTTAAAACACACTTTGTGAACATCTCCCTCTAGTGGGCTCAAAGACACGGAAAAACGGCAAAATACGGCCGTTTCCCCAGGGAGAGAAAGTATTAAGAATAATTACTGAAGAATATATAATATTTTATATAATATATATATATAATATAGATATCCTTATAAGATCAACTCAAGACCGCCAGGACACATCATGGAGATCTAGTGCAATGCTAAAAGTATAAGAAAGAGAAGACTGACTTGAGGGGAAAAAGTTTTGCGTTTATAAACATTTAAACAGCTGAGTAGCATCCTCCAACAACAAAGTCCTGAAGATGTGCTCTGTAAACCTCCAGCACGCAGAGTGCCCTCACTCACCACACCCGCACAGGGGCAGCAGCTCCTGCGACTCCTCCCAGTCCTCAGGTGAGACCCCACCTGCGGAGCTGCCTCCAGCTCTGGGGTCCAACAGCAGAGGGACATGGAGCTGCTGGAGCGAGTCCAGAGGAGCCATAGAGATGTTTCCAGGGCTTGAGACCCTCTGCTCCGGAGTCACTCTCTGGGAGAACTGGGGGTGTTCACCTGGAGAAGAGAGGGCTCCAGGGAGACCTTAGAGCCACTTCCAGTGCCTAATGGGACTCCAGAAGATCTGGAGAGGGACTTGGGAAAGGGATGGAAGGACAGGCCAAGGGGGACCGGCTTCCCACTGCCAGAGGACAGGGTTAGATGGGATACTGGAAAGAAATTCTTCCCTGTGAGGGTGGTGAGGGGCTGGAATGGATTCCCCAGAGAAGCTGTGACTGCCTCTAGATCCCTGGAAGTGTCCAAGGCCAGGCTGGAGGGGGCTCGGAACAACCTGGAATAGTGGAAGGTGTCCCTGCCCATGGCAGGGAGTAGGATGGGATAAGCCGCCCGCAGCACCCACCCCCCTGACAAGGCGCGTCTCCCTCGGTCCGGGGTCCCCATCTCCTCCTCCCCCCGGTCCGGGTCCTGCTCCTTCATCTCCACCTCCATCTTCCCTCAGTCCTGGGGAGCTACCCCTCCTCCTTGGTCTTGGTCCCGGTGCCCCTCCTCCTCCTTCTCCCTCATCATTCCCCGCCTGCGCTCGACCCCGCGGACTCCGCCTCCTCCCCCCCGCCCTCGATTTCGATTCCGCTCCTCCTCTTCCTATTCCCTCTTCATCGTCATCACCAGGCGCCTCCGCGTTCTGCGGAGCGGTCGCTCCTGTCCCGGAACGCTGCGGGACCCCCATTTCGTTTCCACCCCCATTTCCTTGCCCTCCATCCATGACCCGCTGGGCGCGGCGGAACGTCCCGCCCGGGGCGAGAGCGCTGGACGCGACCCCTTGGGAAGAGATGGGGGGACCGGGAAAGGATGAGGAGGAGGAGAAGGGGAGGAGGAAGAGGAGGAAGAAGAAGGATTATGTGAGCGAGGACGTGAACGGGTTCTTGGCACACCGGAAGCAGCAGCAGCAGAAGGAGGAGGAGGAGGCGCTGCGGAAGGACCGGCGGCGGGAGAGCAGGAGGGTGAGGAGGCAGGAGAGGAGGAAGAACGCCATGGTGAGTCCTGTGCCACGCAGAAGAGGGACGTTCCCTCAAATTCTTAGTGTTTGATCAGTCTGCCAGCGCCCTCGGAGGGCTCACAACAACACTGTGCAGAATAAACTCTTTGTTAATATCGTTGTGACAACTTCGGGGATTGCCGGTGACAGTGTCTGGCTGCAGAGATGTATTCAAAGCAATTTACTAATTCAAAACAATATACGAATTCAAAGCAAATTCTAATCGCTAATAAGAGCTGGCTCGAGGTAATGATTCCGCACACACAGAGCATGGTTCTTACCCAATGAGTCCCTGTGGGGCAGAGAGAGGTTCAGTCCATCGACTGATCCCAAAAGTTGGACTGGAGTCTTCCCAAACTTCTCCCTGTTCTTAACTTACTTTTACACTACTTCTTTATGTTTAGGGGGAACTTGAGTGACATTAGTCATACATCCTAATGAGTGAGTGGTAGGCATACCTTGGGGGGACATCTCAGTCCAGTACCTGAAGTGGCCTTGGGGTGGGAACATGGTCAGCCCAAGGAGAGGGCTGCTGATTCAACAGCAAGACGTGGTCCTTTATCTCTCTTGGGTTGCAGCTGCTGTGTGGCTTATCAGCTAAAAAGAACCATCAAATTCCCTCCTTTGCAAGGGCTCCAGTGGAGCCGTGGGGTCTCCACCCTCCCTTTAGTCCTCCTTGGATTGTGTTGCGGGGGAGGGGGGGGGGGGGTTCAGTCCAGGGAGTAGCATCCCTATTTTCCTGTATAATTTCCATACCATTATCATTTTACTCCCAGTCATTTTCCCACAGCATTGTTAAACCCCCAGGAAAAACCCCGTGTGGGAGGTGCAGACCCTTCTCCCGGTGCTGCCAGGGGGTCTTAGTGAGGAGCTCAGCCCTTATCTCCTGAGGGAACCCAGCGTGTCAGGTGAGGCTTCAGGTGAATAAAGTGAAGTCCCTGGAAGTGTCCAAGGCCAGGTTGGATGGGGCTTGGAACAACCTGGTCTGGTGGAAGGTGTCCCTGCCCATGGCGGGTGGCGTTATGACATGGGCTTTAAAGGTCCCTTCCAGCACAAAGCATTCCATGATTCCATGGTCCAGGGCGTGCAGTTGTCAGTGAGTGAATGCCCCAAACAGTGTGTTGCTAGTAAAAGCAGAAAAATGCCCATGATAATGTAGTTTGATGGCATAGAACACTCACAGTTATTTTGTTCCCTGAGGAGAAAATCCCTTGGTGCATCTGCCTTTTAGGCCCTGTAATGCTGGGATTTACACGTCTTTGGTTGCCATTCAGAGAATCACTGAATTTTTCTCTTCAAAGGTGTGTTTCCACTGCAGAGAACCTGGGCATGGCGTGGCTGACTGTCCTGCAGTCCTGGAAAGCCAAGACATGGGGACTGGTATCTGCTACCGGTGTGGATCCACGGAACACGACATCAGCAAATGCAGAGCCAAAGTGGATCCAGCCACTGGTGGGTCTCAGAAATTTGTGGTGTTTTGAGGAGCTTTGGTCTGAGTTGTCTGACCACAGAAACATCAGCTTTTTGTGTTAGTAATTTAACTCTTGCAGTATGATAATGAGAAACCTGACATGCATTTTGTACATAAAGCAAGTAAGATATTGTCATTACACTGTGTTCAGTCTGTGGCTTCACAGAGGTTTTGATGTGCATCATAAACCCTGTGGGATTTTGCAGGGCCATTTCCATATGCAAAATGTTTCATCTGTGGTGAGATGGGGCACCTGTCAAGGTCGTGTCCAGATAATCCAAAAGGATTGTATGCTGAAGGTGAGTGTACTGATTTACTAAATTAAGTAAAATCTAATTTCTGTGTCATTCTTACCTGATATGGAGCAAAGTAACATTGCTAGTGAAAGAAGACTTGGCTAAAAGGAATTTCTGTGTCTTTTTTGGTGAAAGCAGAATAATTCTAGGGAATTTATTATCAATTAATTGCCTGGGGATTTCTGTTATAATTGTAAGCTTGACATTAAACAACAAGATGAGATGCAAAGTGTGAGAGTTTGCTTGTGCTTCAATATCAAGAGATACACAAAGAAGCAAAATCATGTTTTAGTCAGTGTTTATTTACATGTACATGCTCCAAATTAGTGGTAAAAACGTACAGTCACCCTCTTAAGATTTTGGGAGGTGGCAAATCACAGGCTCTCACTAGAAAAAGGATATCTTCGGTTTGAGTGACTTTATTGAGAAGTGAGATCTGAGTTTGAAGGTTTTGCTCAGATTCTGCTCTTCCCGACTTCCCCATTGGCACCAACAACCAGCAACCTGTTTCCCCAGTACAAATATGGGGTTTGGCAAATTCCAAACGGTGATCTCGCAGCACGGTGAAAGGGGGAAAAGAATCGCTTCACTTTCAAATGTTTGGATTAGGAGTAGGATTTAAATTTCATGTCTCAGTTCCTGCAGTTCGATTTTCTGCCTCTCAGGGGCTCCTGTCAACTTCAAAAGTTCCTTTGAGTATGAATTTTGGCAGAATACAGCTGGTTTCTTAAAAAGAGAGCTTCCAACAAATCAGAAATGGTATATGGTGCTATACAGAGCAATACACAAGTAGATCACAAGCAGCTCTGTACCTCAGAGACATGGAGGAAGGCATTTTTTTGAGTGGTTTGGTTTTTGTTTTCCTTATGAAGAACAACTTTCTCTGTGAACAGGTGGAGGCTGCAAACTTTGTGGGTCTGTGGAGCACTTCAAAAAGGACTGTCCAGAGAAACAGAACACAGGTGAGCTGCAGGGGACTGTGAGGTGAAGTTTGAAGCCAGCAGTGTCCATTTACTGCTTTGCCTGACCTTGTTTGGGAAAAGGGATTTGGGAGGAGAACTTGGAACAGCAAAGGTGACCTTTCTTTGGGAACGAGTGCTGATATTCAGGGGAGTGTGGAAGAAGGCAGTAAACTGCAGTACAAAACTAAGACAGTTCTTGCTTAACAGAAAGTTATCTTGTGTATTGCTGAAGGTGATATGAGATAATCTGTATTTTTTTGGCCAGTGTTTGTGCTGCTATTCGTACCTTGGCAGCTGTGCAACCAAACTGGCTGCTGATTTTTGATAGTTCCAGTGTGAGGTGGTGGAAGTGAACACAATGTCAGGTGCAAGGTGGTGGTGTGTGCAGGCAGGTGTGTGAGGGAGGGAGGAGAAAGAGGAGACAGGATGTGTGTCCAGTTGGATCCACAGCTAATGAGCTGCTTTGTTACCTGTCCTTCAGTTTTCCATTGTGGGTGGGAGGCAAAAGCATCAAAAGGTTAAAGAATTACTGTGTTACCACCTGAAGTGGTGACAACGTGTGATTTTTTTCTACTTAGGTTTTACAGTGCTTAGAATTTCTGGGTTAATAATAAGCCACTTTGGTGAAATTTATATAAGAAATAATTAGGGAGGCAGTAGAGGCAATTTCTATCTCTAATCTTACATAGAGTTAGATCTGTTACACCAGATGTTACATTCTAGGTACATGCTGCTTAGCCGGCTTAGAGTGGGTGGGATTGAGTCTGAAGAGAAGTTTCTGACACAAAAACACTTGAAATTTCCTCAGACTCATCAGCAGGTAGTTGGGCAGTGCCCACTGCGGTGACTGCTGCATTGAAAGCCTGTAACCAGTTCTTTTCTTCCTTTTTTTGGTTAAGTTTTACATCCACAAGGAAGACTGACTAGTGCTGTCCAGTTTCTCAAGGGACATCTTTGTCCTTACACTGGTATTTCAAAACTGGTACTGCTCATTAAAAACTGTTGAATTAATTGGAACTGTGACACTGTTGGTAGGAACTGTGATATTCTGTGAAATCAGTTTGCATCATGCAGAGTACTTTTAGACTCCAGGAAGAATTACAGCTAGCAAAGAGGTTCAGGGACTGCAGCCTCTAATTTTTTCATGTGAATTTATCGGGCCTGCTTTAATATAAACTTGGATTTACCTGTGAGACACTCTTCATATGATTTGATTTGTTGCCGTTGTGGGCCCAGCCTTGCCCAGGTATGAAGGTTTGATGCTGGCAGTGCTGAGCCTTTCCCCACCCTGTGTGTCCCCCTGCAGACCATCTGACAGTTGGGCGATGGGTCGCTGGAATGAGCGCAGACCATGAGGACGTCACTGAAGCACCAAATCTGCAGAAGCCAAAAGCCAAAGTACCCAAAGTTGTGACTTTTTGAAGGTCTCTTAGCTCTTCACTGCTGCTTTGCTGCAGAAGAGTGGCTACAGAGAGCTGTTCCAGAAAATCAAGCAGACTGCTGCTGAATTGTTATTTTTTTTGTGTCCCTTCATTTTTCCAGTTTGCCTCCTAGATTCCCCTAGCTCCCTGAAAAGCTAGGAACAACAGAAATACAGCAAGTGGATATTTTACTAAAGGGATTCTGCGTATTTTTTAAAGGTTCTTGTTGGGTTCCGGCTTGGTTTTGCCTTCTCCTTTTAGGAATAATCGATTTATTCCTCTATATGTGCCAGCTTGGCACATACGTAACTTCTTGTGGTGAAGTTACAGGTAAACTCTACAGCCTGTTGAGCTTGGAGGTGCAATTCCTGCTACTCGTGGTTGTAATTAACAATCATTAACTTGACTGTGCACGTTGGATTGTTTATTTGTTCACTAACAGAAACAGAATCACGCCCTGCCTTTGATAGCTCTGGTGAAAAACACCATAGAAGAGTTGGAGAACAAGTGAGAAGTTTTCTTAGTTTCTTTACTTTTTTTCCAAGGAAAATGCTCAAAAATCTTCATTGTTTCTATCCCTCGGCAAGTTGGTAATGTGTACACCTCCTGCTACCTGGCAGATCTACTGTTTTTAAATGGAGACTGCAGCCTTAGAAAAACTGAGGCATATTGAAAAAAAAAATCGAGGAAACCAACTAAAAAGAGAGCTCCTGCAGCATCTTGTGCTACCAGAGAAGAGCACCCTGAGCTTCTCTCACATGCTTTTCTTGAAGCAAAGAAACAAATATGGGGAGTTAATTTGTGTGGATATATTTTATATTTGTACATGTTATTTTTAATAAAAATGCTGCTAAAGAATACAACGGTTAGAGCTCTTATTTTAGGTTTCCTAGTTCTGCTGTGGAGACAAAGGCACACTAAGCTGACTGAGATGGGGGGGTGTATATTCAGTTTCTATTCATCGGAGCACACATTTAAATGGGGAAGGAGAGTGGATGTGAATGAAATCAAGGATTAATTATGGAGTTTTAATTAACTATTGGATTAAAGCTCAAAGCAGTGTCACTTTTATGTGGACATTTTGCAACAGGCATCCCAGTGTTTCCCTTTCTATTCTATGACTTAAATATATTGTCCAAAAAGCATCTTTTTAAATAATTTCTCAACTCTTTAGCTTTGTAACATGTTCTTTCATGCATAGGAACCTGTAGCCACAGACTGACTGTCCTAGTGTTACCAGTACATCCCTGTGAGGGCTGGTGTAGGCAGTTGGATGTGAGCTCACTCAGAGCAATCCTCAGTAATTGGACAAAACTACACCTTAAGTGCATCACCCACTGATTTCACAGAGGTGGGTGTAGCTGAAGAAAGGTGTTTGAAAAGCAGCTGTAAAAGGTGCTGCATGTAAAGGTGTAAATAGATGTACAGTTCTTGGTGCAGGCAGCATCCAGGCTCTGTCCCCACTGCCTGTGTTCAGAGCGAACATTAGGTGTCTCTCTTCACCAAAGATTGGGATCTTGGAGGCTTCTCTGCCTAGCCCAGTGCCTGTCTGCCCTCGCCAGCACCTGGCAGGACTTGGGGAGCTGAGCTCTTGATCCTGCAGGGATCTGGGCCTTCCCAGGGCCTGCTGAGCCAGGAGGTGACAAGCAGGGCCTCAGTGGCTCCCATGTCCTGAGGGCAGCTGTCCCTGTTCCCCAGGATCAGGAGCTGCACTTCACCCTAATGACAGTGCTGATCCAAAATCAGGATCGGGGTCTGTGGTTGCTCCTCCAGAGCCAGAGCAGAGCCAGACCTGCCTTTCCCACTTTCTTCCAGGTGGAAGGAACAGCTCTGTGTGCACAGAGCAGCCAGCCCCTGCAGACAGAGCTGGTTTCACAAAGACTTTGTACCCAAGCTATGCCAGAGCTGTGGAGAGCCCAGGTGACTGAGGTGTTGTGGCACCCTGAGGGCTTCCAGGACTTCCCTTGGTGTCTCTCCTGCTGTACTTCCCATATGCAAAATGTGCTGCATCCTGTGAATCCCTGAAGAGAGCTGTGGTTTGGCTGTAGGTTGAACTGAGGAGGTGTTAAAGTGGGAACTGTGCCAGAGCCTGAGAGCTCTCCCTGTACCAGTTGTGATTCTGCAGTGAGATCAAGTGGCCCTGCTGCAGCTCATGCTTTGATCCCCCTCAGACCCCTGTCCATGCCAGGATCTAACTGCTGATGAGCACGCTCATTCCTCTCAACAAGGCTTTTTTGAGCAAAAATAAGAGCAGAAAACAAAGCACACACACCACAATAAAACCTGAAACCATCCCCCCTTTTCATCTGCGAGGGAGTGGATCCAAGAGTTACTGTTCTACTCCACAGCTAGGCACTGAGGTTGTCAGCAGTCCCCATCACCACTACAAAGCAGCCTTTCCACAGCCCAGAGATCCTATAATGAAACTTGTGATGAATTTTTAACCTCAGAAACAATAATTTATTGGAAGTCACACATAAACAGACAAGTATTAGAAGCAGCAAACTCTAATTTACATAGGCTGTAATCAGTTCATAAATAATGGGGGTGCAAAGACCTGGACAGCCAGGTCAGAGCACAGGTAAAGCTACTTGGCAGCACTGGTTTCTGCAGGTTACGAGGGATGGTATTTATAGATTTAAAACTGCCTGGATGCCTTTTCATGCAGTATAACATTAAAATAGGGAAATAGTCTCATGAGCTACAGCTCCACTGAGCCACATTCTGCTTCCATTTATACAAAATTCATTAATGCAATCAAAAGCAGAATCTGTCCCTTAATCTTTTTTAAATTAAAAATTGAATTTGTAGCCTAAGGCCTAGGCTCAATTTGACAGCAGATGCTTGTACTAGGTATTCTCAGGTTCAAACCCAATATTTGTTACACGATCTAAGGTAAGTAACCTGTAGAAAAATTATCAACACATTTGCAGGAATTTAAACAAGAACTGCTGGATAATCATCAGATGTCCCTTCAGAAATCTGTTTTTAACTTCAGCACTTGGAGCCTTTCATCTCTAAGAACTTTATACATTCCAAAGCAGTGTCTTCAATGGATTTTGATGAGCCGGCGAGATTTGCAGCTAAGTAAGGCATCACTCCTGATGTCACTTGATTGAAGTAACACACCTGTTTGAACAAAAAATGAGACAAAAAAAGCCTATAGATTGCAGGAGTTAGCCATTTTTTTGCAGAGCCTAGATGAGCACCAAAGTTTTTACGGATGTGAATAGAAACACACAGTGCTTCTGAAACTGAACACAATAATTTGTAAAAAGCATGTCTTTTTCACAGCACTTCAGTGATCTCAGTATCCTCGCTGCTCTCAGATCCCAAGCATCTGCAGGTAGATGTACAGAGCAGTGCAGCAAGAAACATTATGTATACCCTGTTAAATATACGTGCTTTGTGAACAAAGCTGTTGCCTGAAGAAAATAATCACAGCCACTGAATGCTACTGAGTATTTTCAGTTTTCTTAAGTGGAAAAGTTTTTGCCTTCCCTTGGAAAAGAACAAGAAAAGAGCATTGTTACTCGTCCAGAGGTGGGATTCAGATTGTGTGATTTCTGACATATGACAGTTAAGATTAGGGATTTAGTCTGAACTGTTTTCCATAGACTTCCTCTTTAGCCAGTGAAAAGAGAGATGGGCACCCCCAGAGACCAGTTTAATGCATACATTCTAGAAATGTGTTTTAGAAGTGAATGAATTACTCTGGAGGTGCACAGCAACCTCCAGTGCCTAGTTTAGATCTCATTCCTGACAGTCAGATCGGCCAAAGTTGGGCAGGGCAGGTTCCACACAATCAGACTGGGGGAACAGACCCATTTTTTGGTTTGTATTTTGCTACTGCCGTCACTGATTGTCAATGACATGCACAGGTGATGCCCCAGGAAGGGATGCAGAGCTGAGGCCTCAGAGCTACTCACAGTACAGGAGCTGCTGGTGCCGCTGTGTATCTGGAACCCGGCACAAAGGACTTCACTCCTGGAGAACTTCGGGCATGGGGGCACTGTGCTGAGGGTCACCGACCTCACAGCCACGGTGTAGGGTTCACTGTGGGCAAGGGCAACCATCAAACACTTCTTCTTGTCCAAAAAGATACATGGAAGCGACTACAACATACACAGTTGTGTCCCTTTCATAAGAAGGTAAACAAGCTCCTGTGTGTTCAACTGTACTTGTCGAAGGGCTGGGCTCTCCTGGGTCTCACTGAGGCTTTATCAGACCTCTGAGGAAAGCCAAAGAACAACCACCCACATACAGAATGTCCTTTTTTCAATTTATCCTGCTCTCCACAACCCATGTTTACAGAACAGCTCTTACTAAGAAGCAGCCCCAGCAAAGGTATTCAAATTCATTCAGTTCCCTGATGTGAGGGTGGAAGGCAAGCACAGTGCAGAACACTGCCTTTTACTGTTACCTTGAAGAATAAATGAATATAAGAAAAGAAATTGAGATTAAACAAGGATAAGTTACACCAAATGGTCCTGTGTTTCATTATGCAAGAACAAAAGCAAATCCAATAAAAAACGAAATAAAAAGCGGTGCATGTTAAACTGATCAAGAGACTTGGCAAAATTTACAGATCAAATAATTGCGTGAGGTCTCAAGTACTTCCTTGAATATGATCTCCAGAAATGCATTGAACAAAGTCAGTTAAATAACAAAATGAAATCCCAGTTCAGTGCCTCAGCTCACTGACAGGCCTTCTGGGACATGGTATTTTTTCCTAATTTGCCCATTTGGAATTCTGGCCTATTTTCCCTCAAGATAGACTACTCCCAAAGAGTCACCATCAGAGAAGCAATACTGGACTGTGCTGCAAATTTGTGATAATCTGGATTTATTTCACTGCATGTTCATGTTGCCAAAAAATCTGGTTGTACATACTAATCGACCTTCTTAAAAAATAAATTCTTCATCCCCCAATGACAGGAGAAGGTCAACAGAACCCAAAACTGTGACCCTAAAGTGCTCACAGTGAAATGCAAAAGGCCTACTCACCATGGCTTGCAGGGTTGCCTTTGAGACACGAGAATCACAAAGTCTCTGGATTCGTAGCCCCTTGTGGGAGGTGACGTCACATAATATATTTTCTCCTCTTCACTCACAGCCTGCAGGACCTCACAAGTCCTGCAAATACATTTAGCATACACATGCAGGCCCTGATGTATGCAACAGCATCTCTTTTGAGAAACTACAGTGCAAATGTGTTCCATCCAAACATTAAACCTTTGATTTTCACAGTCAGATGGCAAGGGAGAGAGAAGAACACAGACTGAAAAATCTACGTTTTCTGCAACACCTCATCAACACGGTATTTCTTTAGACTTCACTCGTTACAAGCCATCAATTCAGTAGAGACTGTTATTTTTTCAAATATCCCTAAGCACCCACTTCCACCTGGTAAAAACCTTTTGGGATGAAAGTGCTTCTCCTTTAAGAGAATATTCACCAAAATCAATTAGTATCATATTAAT